TTTTTTTTTTTTGTTTCTTTTTGTACTTTTACTATGGCCTTATTAAAGCATGTAACCCAACAAAAAGAACTCTTCGTAATAAACAGCCTTACTAATTTATAACGTTTTAATATACCTTGTTCTCTCCTTCCTCTTTATCTTTCATTCTTTGTTTACTTTTTTATCGTTCAAACATTAAAAAAATACCTTAAAAAAATATTTTTTTCTTTCTTTTTTTTTTTAATTCATTCCCTTTCCCTTACAAAAAATAATTATGCAAATATTTCATCACGCTAAGTATCTGTTCTTCTCTTCTACTCTTCTCTTCTTTCTTTTTCTTCTTCTTCAAAGATAAAGCTAGGACGTGAGGAATTTAAGCGGATAAACGTAACAGTATAGATATATATATATATATATATATATATAATACCACTTCATATAAATTTGATTCACTGACGCGAATATGTTATTCTCTCGTTGTTGAAAATCGTCCCGGTTCGATAGTCATTCGGTTTACCCAAATGGACTTTCGAAACGAACTATACCGCCTCTTGCCATTTTGAATTTAGTCTGTGGATCTTTCAGAGTCGTTTCGAACGCAAATAAACAATGACAGATAAAGTACCTTTAGCTATTTGAAAGGTATTTTCTTTAAAACGACTTACACATGTGTTTAGTTCGAATGGTAATCGAAGGAATTTAGTTCGATGATAGAACTAATGGTGGAACGAAGTAAAAGATGGAAGTGCGAGAGAGAAAGAGAGAGAGAGAGAAAAAAAGAAAGAAATCGATAGAAACGAAAGATCAATGCTTGAATGATCGAATTCTGATCATGCAATGTTGCACGCAATAGAAGCCAGGCGTAGATGAAACATAGTACATAAAGGAAGAGGAAGAGGAAGAGGAAGAGAGAGAGAGAGAGAGAGAGATAATGCAACTACATCATGAAGGTATTTCGAGGTGCGAATTCGGCTTGCCAATTAGCTTATCGAACTTCGTAGAAGGGGATGCCACGCATTCGAGGAACCTTGCAACTAGAGCCTTCGTACACCTCTGTACTGATATGCTAATCAAATTCCGCTAGTGAGAATCTCGCTCCAAATTATACTATTGTCGAAATTATACGAAACTTACGGGTGTCCTTTCCTTTGATCGTTACCTTTCTTCCATCAATTTCAAATTATTTGACAAAGTTAAAGTGCAATCTTTATTTTTACTTCAAATTGAGAGTTAAATATGATATACAAATAGATAGTTCTCTCTCTCTCTCTCTCTCTCTCTCTCTATTTGCATATGATTCAACATTTTACGAATCGTCAAAAACGGCACAATCGATAATTTGATACGACACCAGGAATATGGAGCGATCGATTGAAAATTCACGACTGGAACACAGTACGCCCGGTTCGGATATCGATGAACGTACCGGTGGTTAATGTGGTCGATGATAATGGATGATATTTTCGGATATGGTATGATCGTCGAATGATCCAAATGATAATGAAAAGCCAATATGTTAGGTTGGAAAAAGAAGAAGTATTAAAAGAAGAAGAAGAAAAAAAAAAAAGGATGAAAAAATTCAAATAGCGGTACGGCAAAATTGAAGGATGAAAGAAAAAAAAGAAAATACACATTTAAATTGATAGCAAGAAAGAGAAATTATATTAACGACAGTAATAGCAAAACGTTCCTCTCATTATAAACGTTGTAACATTTATCTCGTTCGTTGAAATTAGCTTAAGCTTTCATCGAGACTACTACTACTACTACTACTACTACTACTACTACTACTACTACTACTACTAATACTAGTTACCGCAGGTAACATCTCACTAAGCGGAAGCGAGATTTGAACGGGCACCGGTGCGTAATACAAATAGACGAGCTTTTCCAGTATTAGTAGCAGCATCCTACTTGACACGATGTTTTGACTTCGTTGCATATACCGCTCGCAATAGTATGTAAGTAGGAACGCAAATGAAAATAAATTATCGGTCCGCTCGAAAACATCGACGAATTGAAAGGGGGAAGAGATGTCAGTATCCGCCATAATCGTCATCTCCCTCTTAAACCACCTCTCATCTCTCCCTCTTTTCATTCTCTCACTTAAATTCTATCTCTTTCTCCATCCCTCTTTTCAGACAGCAAAATTACGGACCATGACGAATTTCGACCGCTATACTCGAACCATTATCAAGTGTCCCTCGAGTTCTGGCGTTGCACCTAATAAGGATATAATATTGGCGCAACACACGAAACACAACAGTCAAACGTGGGAAATATATTCCTTGATTTAATATACATAATCATTGTTTATTTTCAATCTTCTTAAATGATTAAGAGAATAATTTGGAGTTTACACGATCGATAGTGTCGACGACGAACTCATTTATTCAAACGTGTATTTAGATACAATTAACGATACTCAGACCTTTGTACGATACGATCTCTGTCCTGAAATTAAACGCTTTCCTCATCAAACTTTGAAAGATCAGGATGTTAACGATACAATGAATTATTTGTATTTCCTACAATTAAGAAGTTTATTACTTTATATCTGCTAATTTTCATCTCGATTATTTACTTTTTATCTTTATTTTCTAATATGTGCCAGATGTACTTCATTAATCTTTCGTATTTTATAGCTTTGATCATGAATTCATTATCCATTCCTTTTATTCCATCCATACTCGTTCATTAATTTCTATGGAAAACTCATAAATTTATCTATGAAAGAATTAAAAATGCTCTTTTGTGATTATCGATCATAAATTGTCAAATAATTAAATTCAATAATTAAATTTATATTTAAAAATTGATATTATCTAGTTCGTCTGTTCACATTGGCCGCCCAAGTAAAAATTGTGCTGATTTTAATTACGTTAATATTATTTTGAAAGCGACATTTTCAAGATTGAATATCTTATTATTTTCTCTCCTTTATAAAAAGATGTGTTTACTAGTACGTTGACTTCCCGCATAATGATCACAGGCTTAATTAAGATAAAATAACAATGCATTTCTACACTCTCTATTTTAGTCTGTTACTTTCAACTTTAGCACAGAGCGGAAATTCAACTATATAGTTATTTACTTATCAAAAACATATTTTATATCATCAATCGATTCTATTCATAATTATTGATTATTTAAATAATTTCAATGATATTATTATTATACAAATATGAGAAAGAAGGAATTGAATTGCATTAGAGAGACATAATACACTTATTATAAACACAGAACCCCGATTAAACGCGTAGAATATATAAATACCATAAAATATACATATAAATATCGTAGAGATAAAGATAAAGAGAGAAATGACTAGAAATTTAGTTTCCATTCCATATGTGCGTTGGTTGCCATGCTTTTCGAAGAACAAGAAATCAATCGACCTCCTTTAAATGCAACAAGCAACGCGATTCCCCTTTTCGTGTGCACCACGTGTGCTTTGCGTTTCGTTCGGTTGAACGTTATGAGAGAGAAAAGGTAGAAAAAGAGAGAAAAAGAGAGAAAAAGATAAAAAGAAAAAGAGAGATAAAGAGAGATTGAGAGAGAGAGAGAGAGAAGAGAGAGAGAGAGCCAAATAACAATCGCAATTCGCATTCCACCAAGAATCCTGTAAAACGGCCGAAAGAGAGAGAAAAGAAAGAAAACTAAAAAACTTGCTCTCTGTTTCTCTTGTTTTCTATGCCCTTTTTTTCCTCTCTCTCTCTCTTCCCCATCCTCCCTATTTTGCTATATAAAATCTTTTTTTTTTCTTTTTTTTTTTTTTTTAATTTTTTTTTGAAGAATCAACAATAATAGTTTCATATGTGTACTTATCGATATTAATTAGAATTTGATGATAGAATTTGAATGATAGAACAAAATATTTAACTACTGTAGAAATCTTTTTTTTTTCTTTTNGCCAGACCATCAACCTCTAGATATATCTATCTATCTATCGTCTCGTTAGTTGGTTAACGAGTCTTCTCACTCCCTCTCTCTCTCTCTTCCCCATCCTCCCTATTTTGCTATATAAAATCTTTTTTTTTTCTTTTTTTTTTTTTTTTAATTTTTTTTTGAAGCATCAACATTCCGACATTAATATCGGTATTTTGGTACACACAGTGATTTTCAACGAAGACAGTCAAAAAGAGAGAAATAAAAAAATAATTTCGAATCGATCGAATGTAAACTTTTTGGTGACTTAAACCAAAACCAAGCTACTCGTTTATTTTTTAATTCCTCACGTCTCAATTTCAACTACTATATTGATTCTCGATTAAAATTATTTAACGTGTAGAATAATTATATAGAAATGGACGAAGATGGTTTCAATAAATTCTATCGTTGATTTATTGATATACTATTTGAATATTTTAACATCTAAACGATTATTTACTTATCCTTGTCACGTAATTTTATATTACGAACAACATGAACAGGAAATGAGAAAGTAATATGAACACGGTTATCTTTAGGAAATAAAGATCTCTCATGGGGACGATAAGAATATCTACTATTGAACTATTGTAACCGATAGTGGTATGTAATAAAATATAGATAACTGTGTGAAATCAAATATATAAATTTACCGATATCGCGACCTTCTTTTTATCTAGTTGACTTATCGCTTATCGAATTCTCCGTTGACAGAGAGTTTGAGACAGGAAGAGCGTTGATCAAATATTTTTCTCGGTTATAAATTGATGATAAGGGAAAATAGCTTTTGTTGTATTCGATTCATAGACAGAGACACGTATTTGTAACGAATCACAATCATGAGTTGAATAAAATCATAAGATTAACCTTAATATATATATTTTTTTGTTTTTAAATATACACCAGAGTAAATAGTACAAACTTAAGATAATTATTTCATATAAAATACATTCCCTTTTTTTTCTTCTTTTTTTTTTTTTTTTTTAAACTTTAGCAATAAAAAAGAAATCTAGAACTGTGATTGATATCACGAATATGAATATGTAATAACTATATATGCATAAATTTTATAGTATCCTTGAACTACTTACGTAAAAGCCAAGCTCCGACAAATTCGTATCAAGATCCTTTATCTCGGTTGGCGTTCATAAGTCACGCTTTCAGTTTCAGGCCGCGTGTTCTGGAAAATAAACGATAGAAACTCGTTATACCGAATTCGTTCTCAACACGATACGAACAATTTTAATTTAAAAACGTACGGAATGTCGTAACAGATCATTTCGCATTTTATAATATAATAAATTCATGAAAAATTAATATGGAAATTTTGCAAAATTGTTAAAACAACAAAAAACGTGTTTACAAATACAAATTTATAGAAAAAAAATTATTCAATAACATATCTTATTTGATTTTCAATTGGAATTGATTGTAAGCTCCGTACATTACTTTGATAGGTTGTATTTGTGCATTCATATGCAAAGATATGTATGTATAAATATATTTTTGAAGATAGATGAAACGAATGTCGAAAGTAAACGAAAAATCTTACGAAACTACGGTTACGCCTATTTTTTTATGCCCCTCTTTTTTCTTCTTCTTTTTTTCACTTTTTCTTTGCCACATTCAATCTCTTTTGCTACGTTTAATCGCTGAGAAAGCCTCAAGAGATAAAACGACGAGACTAGTTCGTGGTGGAAGAAGAAGAACCGTAGAGAAAAGTAGAAGGCGGATTGTACAAAGAACGACGTATATTTCCCTTTCTTTCTATCTTTCTCGTTTTCCTTCTTTTACTCGATTTGAGAAATCTCTTAAATCCGGACCGATCTCTAAATCTAAGAAAATCGATTGCATAAGAAAAACTGATTTCAAATAAACGAATAGAAAAATGCTAGTGATTATAAATTAAATGATGGGAATCTATTTATTAATTACTTTATCACTCTTTCATATTTGTTAAGAACAATTTGATTAAAAATCTTTACAAACTATCCCTATCATCTTTTAATTAACACATGGGCTGAAAAGTCCTGGGTCTCACATACAAATGGCGCTAGTTTTATTGAATTCACCTCATTTTTAGTTAGTACTAATCTTCAAAAGATATGTGTATAAATTTTCCAGCTGTCGAGTAGTTGGTTCGTGAGATGTAGCATTTTGAGTGAAGCACCTTTTGTTATTTTCAAAAGGACGCAGAAAAAAGATTTTCGTGTGTTAATAAAACATTGGTTTTTATTGAAAAAAAAAAAAAAAATACTGTTAAAGCCACAAGGCTTGGCTTGATAAACATTATTCGGATTCTGCACCAGGAAAATCAATCGTTGAGAAGTGGTTTGCTAAGTTTAAACGAGGCAAAATGAGCGTCGAAGATGATGCACGCAGCGGACGACCGAAAGAGGCTGTTACCGAAGAAAACATCAAGAAAATCCACAAAATAACTTTGAATGACCGTAAAGTAAAGTTGATTGAGTTAGCTGAGACTCTAAAGATATCAAAAGAACGTGTAGGACATATAATACATGAATACTTGGACATGCAAAAGCTGTGTGCAAAGTGGATGCCGCTCGTGCTCACAATCGATCAAAAAAACGATGGCAAAGTTGTATGAATTGAGCTTCGAATTGCTTCCCCATCTACCGTATTCTCCAGATCTGGTCTTCAGTGACTATTTCCTATTTGCAGATCTCAAAATAATGCTGCTCGCTGGAAAAAAAATTCAGCACTGATGAAGAGGTAATCGCTGAAACTGAGGCCTATTTTGAGGCAAAAGATAAATCGTTCTAAAAAAATGGTATTGAAATGTTAGAGAGGCGCTTGAATGAGGCGCTTGAGTGTTGCTCTTGATGGAGATTATATTGATGAATAAAGCCAATTTTGAACGACAAAAAACCGTGTTTTCTTTGTTAGGCCCGGAACTTTTCAGCCCATGTGTTAATTCAAACGAAAGTATCAATGATTTTCAAAATTAATATTTCAACCTGTATACAGGACAATGTATATTATACAATTTAAAATACTAACAAGTAATTATAATAGATGAAATTATATTCATTTTTATACTTAACAAAGTGTTGTATAAGTTGTGCTGATCGAAGAAAGTCGAAATCGTTTAGTCAATGACGAGTATGTAATTATATCGTAGTTCCTACATGAACATTTACTTGCCGCACGCGATTCATTTAGTTATATATATATATATTACTGCATGTGTATATGAGCAAATGCTCTCACGTGCGTTACGGAAATATATACATATATATATATAGTCGATATAGCAACTCTCAGGCAATCGACTACAAGAGAATAACGCGTCACACGTATACCATTCGTGTTAGACGTCTTCAATGTTCCGCGGAACATTTCACGAGCGTGACACGTTGATTGTCAGAGGCTCAACAGTATTATAAAGGACCCCCCATATATACCAAACGAATGTTACAATACAATGAAATACAATTGAGTATATGAAATCATTCACGTTCATTATCAAAGAAAATAATAAATTATGTTAATGATCATGAAAATATGAGAAATAATAAGCTAACTCTAATTATTATATTATCAAAATGATTTTTAATAATAATGAAACTTTGATATAGGTTTATATAATTGTCTTTATTATCGATATATATTTAAATGTCTCGTGATTATTTTAATAACATGTCTTTTGTTCTATAAATTCTTTTTAAAACAAACGCAACGCTTCATAAATGAGAAAACATTTATGTGAAAGCAGCAGGAATCTAATCTAACAGTATTAAAACAGAGTTGCAAAACGTCACAAATGCTCGTTTAACTTTAAGCAAATGAACAAAAGGAATGTATTAATGAAATTAAGAAGCGACTAACAGGAAAGGAATTATAACGTTTATATAAAAGAAATATATACAAACACCTACTCGAAAGCTACTGTGAACGTAAACAATCTTTCACGTTTTTTGAGTTCTTGCGAACTAATTCGCAAACTTTTATGAACAAGATTGTACTCCGCGCGTTTAAGTGTTTCTGAGAGAAACAAAAAATTGAATTATTAAAAAATCTAATATGAAAGTGGCGAAGAAAAAATTTGCTGTTGATAGGGAAAAAATATAGAAAAATTACGATTCAAAGTTTGACAAGTAAGAAAAAAAAGAAAAATTAAATGAGGAAAAGGAAAAAATGGTGAAGCTTGATAAACGTATGAATATCCAGCTGACGAACCCAATTAGAAAATGAGAAAGATAGAAAGGAAAAAAAGAGTAAAGAGAGAGGCAAACAAACTGCCTAATTTTCTCATTTATTAAATTGCCCTGTTTTATTCTGTTTACATAAAATCTGAATTTTAGCGAAATTGTCAAATTCCGAATGAAGAAAAACCTTCCTCTTTTGCCTCGTCAAAAAATTCATATTGTAACCTTTGATTTCATGTTTAATAAATAAAGTATAATAGTTTTATTTTTTTTTATTTTGATACATCAAAACGGTGTTCTCTTTCATCGTAACAGTTAATTTCTGCGGATCGTGGTCTCCCCGATTTCACAACGTTTACTTTTTCACCAATACCACAGTCAACAATAATAATAAAAAAAAATATTTAGCAAATGATTTAAAATGTCATGGAAAAAACTATCACTGGGTAGGACAAAAAACCCCAATTTCATTTGACAGACGAAACACGTTGACAAAAAGTGTAGATACTCGTGTGTTTTAGATTTCAAACGAAAAAAAAAAAAAAAAAGAAAAAAAAACATACATTTTATCAAAACGGAAAAAATATTTATCAAAAAATATATTATTTCCGGATAGAAATTTATATTTACGCGTTCAACTTTTTACCGATCTTTCACTAAAAAAATTCTATTTTATAACAAATATATTTATATTTCTTTAACATTTAAAATTTTTACATGACTCAAAAGTAATAACGACGAAATTTATGAAAATAAAAAAAAAAATAAAAAAAAAATACCAAACGTAAGAGTAATAAAAAAAAAAATCTTTTATATTCTTCTTCATAAATGTAGTGTCGATAAATAGAACGTAGTATTTCTCTCTCTCTCTCTCTCTCTCTCTCTCTCTCTCTGTATTACACTATAAAATTCTCGTATGTGAAGACAGCTAACTAGCTTTTATGAACATAAAAGAAAAAAAAAGAGAGAAAGTAATATACAAAAAGAATGAACGAGTGAACATTTTTTGTAAATTCATATGACGTGTACACTAAAAAATGTTCAATTTAAAGCATCGCTGGTGAGTGTACCATCACTTAAACGAAGTTCCTCGTTCTTGAAAGCGTAGATACGCATGGAAAATTCAGGCTTCTCAATCTTCACGTCTCGCTTCAGCAAATCCTTGAAAATCAACAAGACATCAGGCAAAAGAGATCGAGTAGATTTCTGTTTCATAGAAAGGAAAAACTTTGACGAGTATATGTGCTACTCGTTGGTCGGTATTGATCGATGTTAGTTCGAACGATAAAAGCAAGCTAGTATTTGAATTTCTCTGACTTGGCTCGTTAAAGAAAGAAAATATCCCAATTTAAGAACACGATCGTGATTACATAGAAAATATAAAACTAGGTCAACAAATTTATGATTTATTTACAAATAATAAATTAATCATTTTAGTTCAATCCTCTGTAATATTATTTAGAACAATATTACAATTTTTTCGAATTATTGTCTAAAATTATACATTAATAAATTTGTGATAATTGTATATAAAAAAAAGCAATCTAAAAAAAAAAAAACAAAATTAAAATTATATAAGATCAATAAATTTCAGGGCATCAAATTTCAATTGCAAAAGCTAGTTAAATTACAAAAAGGATCTTTCATAGGAAAAAGATCGTTCATTGACATGTCTTGAATCTGATATGCTTCTAGAGTTCACATACTACCATGTACAATTCGTTTTTATTCTCGTGAGAAGACTGTTCTAACTCGATACGGCATACTTGCAAAAATGTGCTGTGGGGTAAATTAGTTTAATCGAAAAGAGCACCCGTCGAACCTTATTTTAAATTTAAGTCTTACGAAAAGCTTATAAAACCAATTGGAAATTCAAAATAATTTTCGAATCAAATTGAATGACGATAAAGACAAAGATCAATAATTTTTCACAGATTCATTTTAAAATTATTCGAAATTGTTTGCACGTTTTTCATCATCTGATAAATTTATTATAAGCCGATTTAATATA